TTACTTTGCATGGAGGTCTGCATGTCGAGCCTTAAAAGTTGCAAACACAAAATGAACCACTGGGCATACAGTGTAAATTATTGTAAGGCCATTTTGAACTCTTGTAAAACTCAAAAGAAAACAGTAACAGTCAAAAGGGGATTGGATGAGTAAAAGTGGACGAGATTAAGATGTACTATCACTGGATTAGCTACACACACTTATCTGGTATTTTGCAGTTCATTTTTATTGGTACCATTTACCTGTATATCAAACATGCCCGCGTATTACATGCACCCTTGTATTCAACCACATTTATCACAAAAAGAGGTTTTAACAGCAAAAAACTAAGTTAAATCTCGGTACAATTATTTATCACGATAACAAGAACAAGAAATTAACTATATGGTCAACACTAATATGTTTTGCAACTTGTTATTTATGACATTCTTGAAACCAAACTTTAGGACTTTGAGGAAGGCCTAGCTAATTTGACGATTCCATGGCTCAGTAAATATTGTGTGTGGGCAAGGATAAGTCCGAAAAGTATTGAAGAATTTGAGTCAAATCGTTGTATTTTTAGAATTTTCAATCTAGCACTATGCAATTTCCTAACCCTAAAGTCAAGTTAAAAACAACAATATAACCATGATGAATTTGACTGCGTGGGCTTTTTAAGAATTCAAATGTTTTTTGCTTATAACAGCATATCAAGAACTGCTTTGAATAAAGCTTTAGTCCTGAAATATTTCTTGCTCACTTTCATCTTGCTTCTCATTGAAAAGTTCTATGTAACATGAGGTCTCTTCACACATGGCCAAATTTTCATAGTTCACTTTGAAATCTAATCTGCATGCCTGTTTGCCCACTTGCAAAAATATTTTGTGATTTTTATCTTCCATCTTGATTTTAGAGTAAAAAATTGATATTTACCTATAGTATTCTCATTGAAAATAAGTTTTTTAATTGAAGCTTTTTTAATTTCCTTTGTTGTGTTCTTAAAGTATGCAAATTAGAACATGCCTGACAAACAATGGAATCTGTGTATAATATGCACTGCAATTGTGATGGTTATTTTTATAGAAATAAAGTGTGTATTATACATGGGTAAATA